TGGCACAGGTTGCCCAGAGAAGCTGTGGCTGCCCCATCCCTGGGAGTGTCCAAGGCTGTGTTGGAGCAAACCTGGGATAGTGGAGGGTGACCCAGCCCATGGCAGGGGGGTGGAATGAGTTGGCCTTTGAGGTCCCTTCCAACCGAAACCATTCCATGATTCTATGACATAAACCCAGGAAAATGCTCTTCAGGCACCACTGGAACGTGGGGGGAAACTCAAAGCTTCCTGAGATATTGGGACAGATCCACGGGAAATGAGCATTGGTGCTGTTGGCTGATGCTTGGGGGGCTCTGGAAGTGGTCTGGGCTGGAATTCCACAAAGATATGGGACTCCCTGAACCAGCCTGATGTGCTTGAATGAATGGGTGATAAAGGGCTGCAGCCCCAGTTAAAGGCAGAGCACCCTGTGAGGGCATCTGGGGTGAAAAATTGCTTTTCCTCCCTGTGTGGGCTCCAACATTCCCATAAGCTTGACCTGCAGCAGAGGAGGAGGTCCTGGATGTTCCCTGGATCCCTGGGGGGCTGAGCTTGCTTGGCTGGGAGGCTGCAGGGAGCTGCCTCGGGACACCCCCGGTGCGGAGGGGGAGCCACAACCGTGACATCTTCAAAGCAAAAAGGGGCGTGAGGTGGCACCCAGGTGGCTCCAGGTCAGCGTGGTGGAGAGAGGTGAAGGCAGGTGAAAGGTCTGGGAAGGCTGGGGCTGCCAGGAAATCACCACATCTGGGTTGTGTTCCCCGGGCTCTGGGTGGGGGCTGCTCCTGCTGTCGGAAGCGAATGGGCCGGGGGGGGGCATTGGAGGGGAAGAACCACCATAAATAATGCTGGGTTGGCAAACGTGGACAGGGACTGAGGTTAAACTGGGGCCAGAGGACCCTGGGGCGGGCTGAGAATTCCACTCAAACCTTTGGCTTTACGGGTTCTGTTCCTGTTCTGTTCCTGTGCGTCGCTGCCGAGGCCCTTCCGCAGGTGCCGGTGGGAAAAGCCCTGTGGGCCCCAGGGAGATAAGCTGGATTTATAGTGTTGGGAGACTCTACCATTTCCTAATGTTTTCCCTGGGGAACCCAGCCCATTTTGGTGCTGACAGCAGCCAGCAGAAGGATTACTGAGCATCTCTTAATAGCTCTGCAGTTTCAAAGGGTTGCTCTGGTTTCCTGCGGACGTGCCCTGCTGGCAGCTTTGGGTGGAGGTTCCTGCGCTGACCCTCTTCCTGGGGTGCCCTGATCTGGGTCTGTCTTGCTCAAATTAGGACACCAGGAGGTGGTTTCTGAGGCAGCAGACCAGACCTGTATCTCAGACAGGGAAATGGAGCTGTGGGGGCTCATCCTCTGCTGCCGTCCAGTTCAAGGGCAAAGAATTTAAGGGAGATCAGTGACATGGATGTTGGACTGGAGGAACAGCATTTACTGCTTGGGGACTGTTCTGCTGACTGTCCCTGGTTTTCTGCCCTGTTAAAGTGCTTCTCCAATCTCCTCCCTTAGTTCTTTTCTTGACCCTTTCCTCCCCTTTGCTCTGGAATGTAGAAGTGCTTCTGCAGGAGGCCACCATGGGAAGAGAAGGGGTAGCCATGGGTATCTCCTGAAAGTCAGCCCAGAGGTGGCCCCTCACAGTCACTTCTGCATCAAGATTTGTGACTCCTGGTGATGCCTTTGATGTATAGCTGGGCTTGCAGGGGATCCAAGCAGCCCTGTCTGGGCTCTGCCTGTTGAACCACCTTGTTCTGTGCCAGATTATAATCTTTGGTCTTCTAAATCAAGACTCCTCAGTCTCCTAGGGTGACATGCTAAAGGCTGGCAGGAACTCCCTGAAGAACCTGGCTGTTCAGTTTGCAAAGGAGATGATCCCTCCAGCAGATGGTCGTGGCTTGGTTGCCTTTGGTCTTTTCTCTCAGGTGTCTTTGACCTTGAGTGTCACCTCTCTCCTGCCCTGGCAGACCACGAGACTTCCCCTCAATCTCCTGCTTTTTGAGATCTCTCTTGCTCAAACACAACCCCCAGCTTTGCTCCAGGAGTCTCTGTTTGGGGGTACAGTCAGTCAGCTGATGCCTCTTTTTGGAGAAGAATTTGGGCAAGCCAAAGGTCACAGGATAGTTGAGGCAGAACTTCCTCCTACCTGGGGAAATGAGTCAGGGCAGGAGCAATCCAGGTAGAGATGTGGTGATTGTCTCCAACATCTGGAGTCTAGGCTTCCCTCCTGTTCTATGGCTCTTTGGAGTGGCTGGTGGTCCTTTTTAAGTGTGTGTGAGCCCAGACAAGAGAAGACCAGACACCTGATGCAGCTAAACAGAGTAATTTTAATGAAAATGAGAAACAGTGAGTTACAGAAAGAACAAGTTTGCAGAGATACAAAAGGGTCTTCAGCAAGCAGAGAGTTTCTGATGGTGGGTGATGCTTTTCCTGGTGGGAGTGGTGGAGTTTGACAGCACAGAACAAGTTTCTTGCTCACAGAGTTGCTTGGAAGTCACGTTCACTGTCAGATGAGGCACAGCACGGACATGGAACAGGAGCTTCTCTACTGGATGTCATCTTGGGTGAAGTTAAAGGCTGAGCAAAGTGGTTGCAGGAACTCCTACTACTATGACAATACCAAGGGGTTGTGAATTAAAACTAAAAGGCACTTTACTCACACCCAAAGTCTTGCTCTACTCCCCCAACATGCTCTGAAGGTGCCTCAGCTCTTGCTGCAATTCAAGTTGCCCTTTGGAGCTACAGCTGAAGAAACAGGAGACGTTAGAGAGGGTTACACGTGGAGTGGTTACACATGGAGTGGTTACACGTGGAGTAGTTACGCAGGGAATAGTTTCAGGCAGCCCGGCACCCACGTGTCCCCCTGAACTCAGCCAGGGGGGTGGGCACTGGGCGTTCTCAGCCCCAGAAATCAGCCGTGAGTCCGTGTCCTGGTTACTGTTCCTGCTTCAGAAGAACCTGCCCCCGAAGCGAGAGAAGGGGTATCCATATCCATATCCATACCCCAACCCGGACAGGTCCCCGTACCCGTAATAGCCCCCGTAGCCAAGGAAGCCCCTGTTCCCAAACAGGCTCCCAAAGCCTCTGTAGCTGTAGGGGCTCCCATATCGGAACTGATCCCAGGAGTAGCTGAAGGGCCTCCCAAATCTGAAGCCGGAGAGGTCGTCGTACCCAAACTGGGAGTAGCACCCGTCGTCGCAGAAGTCCGTGTAGAAGGTCATCGTTTGTTGATGTTGGTGAGCCTGGAACACACCCAGAAATGAGGTTTATGGGCTGCTGATGGCAGGAGGAAAGGCTGGAAGGAGATGCAACTCCTTCCCTCCTGTGTTCATCCTCCTAATTATCTCATTTATTTTTCTAATCTCCTGAATCCCAAACAACTTCTCTAATTTGTTCCCCCCTCAGCTTTTGGAAATCGCTGACTGAACATGGAAAAGAAGGTTTTTGCCAACCGAGAACTGAACTTTCCCACTCCGGAATTCAGAGGAATTTTAATAAACTAAAGAAAAATACACAAATATAATCCAGAATTGGAAATCACTTTTGGCTTCAAAATTATGGTAGAAGACTTCAAGTTTTCAGCGCTTTAAAGCCTAAATATTCAATAAGCACAGGAAAGAAGAGCAAAAAAGTTTGAGTGAAGGAATTCCCTGCGATTGCAGGGAATTTTGTGGTTGGAGTTTGCTCCAAAATGACAAGAAATTGCTTACAGAAGGTCCGTACCTGTACACAGACACACATTACATATGTCACATATAAATGGATGTATGTACCATTAACTTTTATAGATATAACAGGTAATGGTACATATGTACCTTTTATAGATATACACCACTACCTTTTATAGATATAAATTTAATTATAAATATATATATTTTTATATATATCCAAGCACACACAGATATTTGGACAAACACAGAGACACGAGAGCAGAGTCGAGATGGACTTACCCGGTTCACCGAGGGGAGCAGTTGAGTGACTGAGAGGAGTGAATACAATTCCAGGCTCGGAGGTCCATATTTATACCCTCCCGAGCTCCAGAGTTATCCAGGATATCTCATCAGACCCTTTGTCCCTCCGGTTGACGTCGGCAGAGTCACCGATTTTCATATTTCCCGAGCTCGGCGTCGCGACACGTGTGTAACCCCTCCAGAATTTCTTTAATCTCGAAACGAGGAGAATCTCTGGGAAAATTGCAGGCAATTCCCTGTGGTTGGAGGGCTGGCAATAATTTGGGGAGACGTTTAGACCATTGCCCGTTGCGCAATCGCCTCGTGGCTGCTCCGTTGGCTTGGCTTTGGCGTCCTGTGGTGCAACAAGTTGGGGACCAAAGGAAGAGGCTCGGCTTTGGTGTGCCGAGGAGGGCTGGAGCTTCCCAGCATCATCCTGACCTCTGCCTGCTTCCCAGTGACCCTGGGGGGCGTCCCTTCGTCCCTTCCCAGCAGCTCTGTTGGATTTTGGTCTCGGGTTCTACAACAGCAACGTCAGAGACATTTTCCAACTACCCCGTGAATGTTCCCAAATATCCCTTCCTACTTTAGAACATTTTTATGGGGGGGGATGTTTTTTGACTTTCATACAACAAAAGCAGCACCTTAATGGGGCTTGGAAACAAGAAGAGACCTTGAAGTGTCTTGGAAGTGACCGTGTTATTAAATCTGGAGTTGTCTTTCGGTGACAAACTATTAATATTTAAATCCTGCAACACTTTGCAAATTGAAAACATTAATGAGTGTTTATGAAGTGCTTTGGTATTCAAAATTCTGAGGAAGCCTCAACATCCTGTTTGCTCATTATTACGCTTATTTTCCATTCAAATTAATGCCAGGAATTAGGTGAAGGTCACACAAGGAGTTCTGCCGTGAACTCCGGTGTTCCTTGAGTTGGATACACGTGGTTGATTCTTTGTGGAAAAAATATGGATGTGATTCTTTGGAAAATAGCATTTAGAGCTCTTTTAGTGCTAATCTTTATAATTTTTTTTATTTCCACATCAAGTTCATACCTGAAATCTCCACATTGTTGTGCTGAGGTCAAGCCCTTTAGTGAATTAAAGTGTTGCAAACAACGCCAGAGTCATATTTATTGTTGAAAACATTCTTTCTGCTCATGCAGCAACATGACTTCAATTCATGAGCATTTTGGAGGAATGGAATTAAGATTTATTTATGGTTCTGGCTGTTTTTCCTCGAGTTGCTGAAGTTTGATATAAAACTCCTACATCTACATTTGCATTTCCTTTACATAAAAAGCCTGTGTTGTGTTGCATCAGTTTCTAGTGAAAAACAAATATCCAATACATGGAAAAGCTTTCCTTTTTTACTGAAAATTTCTCTCTCTCCAATGTCCTTGAGAAGGCAGAAATGACTTTTATATTATACAGAAACAAACTTCAGTTTTCACAACGGAGACAATAAAATGGTATCAGGAATGTAGCTGGCCCAGAAAATTGGCAGATGAAAGGAACCTGTAATACGTGTGCCATATGGGAGGCTGGGAACACACTAATAATCCCAAACAATGAAGAAAATTATATTAATTGAAGATATGACGTGTACAGGCAAATTTGTTTTCCAACCAATAAGGCTCCAAACCTTTTTGAACACTCAGGGCGTCTGAGATAAGCCAGGAGGGCCAGCAGGGAGTATAAAAAGGGCCGGGAGCTCCGGGCTCCTCAGCAGCTCCTCTGCCTTCCTCCTCCCGGTGAACTCGGTAAGTTTTCCCTCCTTCCTTCACAGGGATTGGGAATTTTGCCTGAGTGATTTCTGCTGGGATTGAGGCTGCTCTGAAATTTAAGATTTTTCTGGGATTTTCTCTGAAATTCAAGGTTTGAGCTGCGCTGCAGGAGTTGGTGGGTTCAAGTTTTAAAGCTGGGAGTGAAATGGGTCCTGTTGGTCCCTGAGGCTTCCTGATAAGGGATTATTAGGGCAGCAGAGATAGAAATGGGTTTCCCCACCATGACCCTCTGTGGTTTTTTCCATAAATCTCCTCTTTTAAGTGAGATCTGCAGGTCTGTTTGGCAGGACAGGTGTTCTCAGGTGTGTCAATGCTCTGTAGGTTGTTGTGTGTGCTGTCAGCACTTCCAGATGCAAATTAAAATGGGTGGAAATCACTGAAATGGCACTTGGAGGGATGAACCCAAACATCACTTTGGGCTTGCTTGAAGACTTCCTTGGTGGAGCTGGAAATGCAGAGCTCCATGCAAAGCTGATGTCCTGAAAGAAATTTAGGGTTGTCCACTCCTAACAGATATTCTCTAAGAAAAATCCTGAATCAGCAGCAAGGTTTGAGTCTGTAACAGGTGATTCCATGGTCAGGGTTTTCACCAATCACAGAAAGGGAGAAAACCAAACAGTTTAAAGACAGGTTGGACTTGATGGTCCTTGTGGGTCCCTTCCCACCTGGCAGACCCTGTGACTCTGTGTTCTTGGGGAGGGTCCTGTGCAGGGCTGAGAGCTGGACTCGATGGTCCTGGTGGGTCCCTTCCACCCCACCACATTTGTGGCATTCTGTGGATAAAATCCCAGAAATGGGCTGTAAGGAGGAGCTGAGGTCCTGACATTGCTCCTGCCCTCAGCCTCCCGGGACCCCTGAGGGAGTTTCCGGGCTCTGTCGCTGCCGTTGGGAATATTCACGGGAATATTCACGGCCTCTCCTTCCCTCCCCGCTGCCAGGTTTCCCTCCAGTGCACAAAGATGACCTTCCTCCAGGGCCAGTGTGACGACGATTGCTACTCCCCCTGCGGCTACCGGGGCTACGACTGCGGGAGCCCCTGCGGCCTGCGGGGCTACGGGGGCCTCTACGGCTACCGTGGCCTCTACGGCCTTGGCGACCGCTACGGTTACGGGGGCCTCTACGGCTACGGGGGCCTCTATGGCTACGGGGGCCTCTATGGCTACCGGGGCCTCTACGGCTCCGGGGACTGCTACGGCTACGGTGGCTACCGGGGCTTCTACGGCTCCGGGGACTGCTGTGGATACCCCGGTGTTTACTCGGGCCGCTATGGTTACCCCTACGGCTCCCGCTACAGCCAAAGGTACGGCTACGGGGGCTGCTACAGCTGCTGAACCCTGCCGGGACGGCCCTCGGGGGAAGGTCAGCCCAAGCCTGGCAAACAGGGGTTGATGGAGAACCTCGGCAGCAGAGGGTGTACTGGGCCCCGGGCGCACCGCCCGCCCTCCGCGGCGGCTTCGAGAGCTCTGCGCTGCCCTCGAGGTGCTTGCGATGATCCCTCTTCGTTCTGCTCGGTGTCTGCTGCTGCTCCTGCCACCCAGAGTCTCCCCTTGACCTAGAACTTGCTTCTCCTCGGTGCTCCAGTCCTCGGAAACCGGCTCTGATGTTGTTTGCGACGATGTACAAAGCCTGAGCTCTGACCAGGTGGTGGGCAGGGTGTAAAGGCCTCTTTGGGAATGTGGGCTCTCTGTTCTGTGTCTCTTTATAAAGTACATCTGCCTTTCACTCGTATTAAAAACTTACTCTGCATCAATCCTGCATTTTCCTTGTTTTATTTTCCACTTTGTTTCTGAAATATCTTCAAATCCATAGCAGCAAACAGTGGCAAATTTATTAACTTCATGTGCTTCAGGACTTGCCTGTGGAGGCTTGTCCTCCTCAGGCTGGAAACAGGGACTTTTGGAGCTGCAAGAAACTTGAGCTGTGGCTCTGGATTTGCATGTTCCTACAACTCCAGGCTTTGGCTTGGTGGGAAATAAGTAATTAATCTCCAGATGCTTTGGTGCTGCTGTTGGGCCAGTGTGGTGTGATTAGGACATGAGCCATCACTGCCTGTGACCTGATATTGGACAAGAACTCTGGAACAAGAACACTGAATTTGCCTTGCAGGAATAGGACAATATTCTGCTCACTTGAACAGTTTTCTGTATTCTCTGTGCAGGTCTGGGACTAATTCTTCTATATTTGCAACATTATTATAAAGACCATTACAGCCCTATTGTGCTGAAGTTTAACTCCACCCCAGGTAAAACCAGCACATTTAACCTTAAATCTGGTAATAGTTTAATTAAGTAAATGAAAGGGAGAAACTGGGGCATTTCTTGCATTTCTGGGGGGTAAAAGGGAACAGAAGAGTGTATTTACTGGGACCTCAATGGACTGATTTTCCAGATCCTTCCCCAGCTCTGTTCCCTTTGCTGGACATGTTTCAGCCCCTCGATGTCTTTCTTTCCATGAAGGGCCCAGAACAGGACACAGAACTCGAGGTGCAAATACTTTGCCAGCTCTGGGGACAGAAAGTCCTTTCAGGATGTCACCACTCACCACTTTACATGAATTCACGTGAAACAGGGACAGAGGCAAGAAAACAACTGGATCTCCAGGGTTTTTTTAAATGCAGAAAGACTTTATTGCAGCAAGAAAAGGAGTTGGCACAGATACAGAAAGATTATAGTTTTGGGATGCTGGAAGGAGCTACAGGAGGTGAGTCACTGCACTGGAGAACATTCCTTCTTGTTGGAGCCACGTTGTTCATCCTCCAGGTGCTTGTAAATCCAGATCAAAGGTGAGACAGCTGTGATCCTGCTCCATTACAGTCCTGCAGCACCTTACTGGAAGTAATTATTGAAAATGCAGATGACCCAAAATCTCATATTGCACAGGTCCTTCAGAGCGGCTGCAAGAAGTTCCACAGGAATTGCAGATCGTCCCTCCCGTTGCTGACGGGGCTGTGAGGGCGTTTAAATACAGGAGGCTACCAAGAGAGTTGAGAAAGGCAGGGAGAAGCAGACAGAAGGAGCAAGAAAAGCAGAAATCCCCAGGAGTTTTTAGAGCGAGGCCGAGCTCCTCATCCTTCGTGACCTCGGGTGCCCCGGCAGGGACTCGGTGTGTGTCCGAACGTCCCGTTGGGGCTCAGCCCTTGGCCTGGGGCGGTGCTGGGCCTGGCTAGGGGGGCTGTGGGGGGTTTAGCAGCAGGAGGAGCAGCAGCCGTAGGAGTAGCAGCAGGAGGGGTAGCAGTAGCGGGTGCTGCGGGCACGGTACCCGCAGCAGCTCCCGCAGCCGTAGTTGCGGCGGCAGCAGCGCAGGGTGCGGACGGTGCAGGGGCTGCAGCAGCTGTAGGTGCGGCAGCAGCGAAGGCTCCGGTAGCGGGGGGAGCAGCACAGGGTGTAACAGGGGGAGTAGCAGCAGCAGGACATCCTGGAGGGGTGCAGGGAGGGAGGGAGGAGAACCTGAAACAGAGCAGGGAGGTCGAGGTTAAGCTCGGCTCGCAGTGGGGTCGGTGAGGAGGGTTCGGGTGGAAACATGGAGCAAATCCCTTTGTTTGGGTGTGATTCTCGTTTCACAGGATCACTGAGGTTGGAAAAGACTTCCAAGAGTCTAGCCTGTGACCCAGCCCCAAGCTGTCACCCAGCCCAGAGCACCGAGTGTGAGAAAGACTTCACTTTGCTGCGGTAACTTGGTTTTTGGTTGGTTTTTATGAGTTTGCTCTTCTAATTTTCCACATTGAGCAGGGACATGTTCAGAGTCCCCTAATCCTCGAGGTCAGAAAAGACCTCCAGGATCATCCAGTCCCCCTCTGTGCCCCATCCCCACCTTGTCCCCAGCCCAGAGCACTCAGTGCCCTGACCAGTCCTTCCCTGGGCACCTCCAGGGCTGGGGACTCCCCCACCTCCCTGGGCAGCCCCTGCCAAGGCCTGACCCCCTTTTCCATGAAGAAATTCTTCCTGAAGAAGAAATGAAGTGTTTGTGGGAGTTTGATGTCCAAGCTCCCAGCACAGGCAGCTGAGGTAAATCCCAAGCTCAGGATAAGATGTTTGGGTGTCCTAAATCTGACCTGGATCCCTCACAGCACTTCCAGCAGTTCTTAGAAGTGTTTATACACAACCCAGCAAGTTCATTAAAGTCTCAGCCCTCCTTGTCAGGCTTTAATCTTGGCATATAAATCATTCCTTTTCTGTCTAACACTGGCTTTGTTGGTGCCGGTTCTAGCAAGGACACTGAAAACCCTCTGCTGCAGAGTGAAGGTTTAAATCCTGGATTGCTGCAGGTCAGAGCTGCCCCAGTGACTCCAGAGCCACTAAAACAATCCACGTGACCTGCCCATATTCATTATTGCCACATCTTTCCAACCAAAAGCCATTTCCTCCTTGTGCAATGGGCAATTCTGCCCATGAATGAAAATGTCAGGGTTAAGTATCACCAGGTTAAAAAAGAAACACAGAACTTCTAACTAGGCTTCACACCTTCATGTCCACTCATCAATGCCCTCCAGATTAAAACATCCAGGGTAAAACCCTTGTTAGTGCAGGATTTATCCCCGAGTTAAAGGTACTGAGAGAACAGGATCTGGACTTACCAAGTTCACTGAGAGGAGTAAACCAAGAGGAGCTGTGTGAGGAGCACTGGGGTTGTGAGCATTTTTATATTCTTTCTTAGACCTGTGGAAGTCACCTCAGTTCTGCAGGGCAGTCACGAGACAAATTTGGGAAGTACATCAGCAGCCCAATTGCTATAATTGTTTTCCTCCCCGTTTAGGACAATTTTCACATTCCTCGGGTAGGGCCTTGTGGTCACACCCCAGGAGATTCCTTCATCTGAAAACTTTCCAGGACAAAGGGATTTTTGGGAAATCACCCCAGAGGACAAGTGGGGCTGGAAGTGGAGGCTGCACAGAGCAGTCCCAGCTGCACAGGTGGCCCAGCTGAGGAGTCCAGGGCTCGTTTCTTTAGGTTGTGCCCCTCCAAGGGAGGTGGATGCTGCACATTATGGGGTGATGTCAAACACCTGGGGAGGAAAGAAATATTGTCCAACCTGCTCAGGGCTCCTTCCGACCCTTTTGATTCATTTCCGCCACAATTAATGACAGACCTGCCATTGATTCTTTTCGGTTCTTCTGCTGCCTATAATTTGTCCTGTGAGATGTCCAGGCCCAGGCACGGGATCAATTAAATCAGCATCTGAGCAATGTGGTCAAGGCTCAAAGTCTGGTTTTCTTGCCCCTTTTCTGGGTGAAATTACTAGAAAGACTTTTCTGAGTCAGTGTCTGGTGATATCAGAGGCATCAAGGAGGTATTTATGTCGTGCTTATATAGCTGAGATTCTCGCCCTCTGCTCCTCTCTGCTCAGATCCCACCTGGAATACTGAGGCCAGCTCTGGTGCCCCCAGCATAAGAAGGACATGGAACTGTTGGAGCAAGTCCAGAGGAGGCCACAAAGTTGATAAAGGGACTGGAGCCCCTCCCCTATGGAGACAGGCTGGGAGAGCTGGGAATGTTCAGCTTGGAGAGGAGAAGGTTGTGTGGAGACCTCAGAGCCCCTTCCAGGGTCTGAAGGGGCTGCAGGGAAGCTTGAGGGGGGCTGTTCATCAGGAACTGGGGTGACAGGACAAGGGAGATGGGTTCAGGCTGACAGAGGGAAAATTTAGGTTGGATATTGGGAAGAAATTGTTCCCTGGGAGGGTGGGGAGGCCCTGGCACGGCTGATCCAGGAGAACTGTGGCTGTCCCATCCCTGGAAGTGTCCAAGGCTGTGTTTGAGCAACCTGGGCTAGTGGGAGGTGTCCCTGCCCATGGCAGGGGTGGAATTAGGTGATCTTTAGGATCCCTTCCAGTCCAAACCACCCCATGATTCTACAAACATAACACTGGGCCCAGGACCTGGCGCTGCAGAACAAATCCGGGTTCCCTGAGGGTCCCTCCTGGGGGGGGGGCAGTGGAGAAAAGAGGGAGAGCAGATTTTAGGAAGGCAGGGAAGGCAGTGGGATGGAGAGCACGTGTTCCTGGCTGGGGGAAGCTGAGGGAGGGGGTGGCTGCTCACCCTGTGCCCTCTCACTTCCCAAAGGCTGCTGAGGGACCTCCCCCACTGCAGGAGGGATTGTCCCGATCCAGGAAAGCGGGAATCACTTCCCTGATGTCCCGGGGTGGTTTTACCCAGGGAGATACATCTGTGCCTCTGTCAGCCCACACCAAGTGATGCCACGGCTTAGTGTTAATGAAGCAAAACCTCGTTAGCCCAGGGCTTCCCTTCCTTGTGCATCCAGGCCCCTTTCAGCACCGAACCATTGGTGTTTAAATAACACAGACATTGCTAAAGTAACTTCTAATGACTGTTTTGGGAGAGCATTGATACCATAAATGCTGAGGAGGCTCAGCACTTCCAGAGTGCCTGTTATTATCCTCATTTAATATGCAAATGAGGCTTGGCTCACTCCAGGGAAGGTCAAACAAGGAGGTATTTGTTGAGTTGAAAAAAAAGCCTCTGGGCTTCGTGTTGGGCTCAGCTTCCTCTGGGGAGCCAGAGGTGGGGTTGAGGACCAGCATCAGTAAGTTTTGCTGTAAAATATTAATATAATTTTACCTTCTTTACATTCTCCTGTCCCTTCTGGTATCTGGGATTTTATAACTAAAGCTGAGGTCGACCCCAAAAATTTCAAGGCAAAAGAAACACGGAACTTTTGCGTTGTCCAGTTGAGATGAAAATAAATTAATGGTCCTCGATGGGGAGGGAACCAATTATATTAATTGAAGTTGTGACG